TGATCTTATCCACAACTGCATTTTCCTTTCATCATCATCATCGTCATCATCCTCATTCTAATCCTCATAATCAATATCAGTCATCATTACCTTTTTTTGTTTTTTTTTTTTGACTTTGGGGAATTCGGGGTAAGAGAAGTAGGCGGCTGGCTTTGAACCCAGGTCCTTAGTGTCCTGACACTTTACCTCCCATGGGTGATCAGTAGATTATTTAGTGTCAGATTCATTTATCATTATTTTATTTATGACGACAGTTACGTATATTTAAGAATTGTTTGATGAAGTTTATTAAAATTTTTAATTTTTTAATATTATTTATAAATAGTAAATTTAAATTTTTATTAAAAAATTAAAAATTATTTCTAAAAGTAAATAAAATAAATAAAAATTTATAAAAAATAAAATTTAAAATTTTTTAAAGTTTATTATTTAAAATTTTTTTATGATTAAAAAATTTAAAAAAATATAAATTTTTTTAAGAAAAATTAAATTTATAAAATATAAATAATATCGAAATAAAAGCACTTATAAATCATGCCAAACACGAAGGGAAATGCTTCTCACGGAGTCACGGTTTCACTATCTCCGTACCATGCTGACCAGGCACAGCCAGTGAGTACAAAGGATAGGAGTGGACCAAAAAATTGCAAAGTAAAAAAAAAAAAATCAAAAATAGATGAAATTATAATTAATGGATATGATTTGATTAGAATTTAAATTTATTTCATTAAAAATTTTAATTAAATTAATTTTAAATGATTTGAATAATAACTTTTGGTAGTTGATAAATGGACATGAGAAAGACGAGAAGACTGGATAGCACAAAATTGATAAGAGTTATGCGGCCACTAAGAGACAAATAATGACCTTTTACTACTAGAAATTGTTGATATTCAAACCAATTTATGTTGGTTTGAAAAATTATTTTTTTAGACCACTATTGGTCTGGATAATGATTGGTGAGGCAATCGCTGTGAGTTTACAATATTCAAACCATAATCAATCTGAAAAATGTTGGCGGGAATACACTAAAACCCACGAAAATTTTTTCAAACCAATTATGGTTTGAATATTTTCTCTGGAAAAAAAAAAAAGAATGCCAGGTTGGCGCAGTAGCGTTTTTGTTTTCCAAAATTTCAGGCCAACAATGGTCTGAAATAGTAAAAAATTATTTTTGACTTTGTACAGCCCATGAATGCAATTTTCTAGACCAATTTTGGTCTGGAATTTTTGCTCCCTACTGCTTTTTCCAAATCGATTATGGTTTGGAAAATTTGCACCCTACTGCTTTTCGCTTGATTTGATGCTCGGTTAGCTTTTGGCCAATTTTCAGACCATTAATGATCTGAAAAAGACTGAGCTACAGAGAATTTGCAACCTACTCTTCTTCCCCATCCCTTCCCTTGTTTCCTATTTTTCGATTTGGGCTTCTCATTTTCCTCCCTTCTTTCACCATTTTCTGCATCTGTTTCTTCCTCCATCACACTACTAGAAAAATGACGTATACGGACCGATCATATACGGACCGAATAGTGTCGGTCTGAACACAAAAATATACGGACCGATATCGGTCTG